TCATGAATAGAAGCAGCTCTCCATTTCCATTTCACACTCTAGCTCACACTCTTCCCTCCACATGGATTGTCTTCCCCAGCCCCGACCTCATCTTGCTTACGTCCTGCTCATCTTCCAGGTCCAGATCCAAGCACTCCAGCTGGAGGCACTCACTCCCTCCTCTGAGCTTTATGACCTTCTTTTTTATAGCACTTCTTATTTAAGTACAAGTCTTATGTCCCCGAGGCTGTACCTAACTTCCTGTGGTAACTTCCCTGATCTCAGGCTTGATTCTCAACTGCAGATCTTCCTGCATAAACTCAAGCCAGAGGTTGCTAAGCTCTTGCATCACCTGCTGCCCTATTGGCAGGAAGAGCATCCACCAAAACTCACCTTGGAGAACTACCTGTCCTCGCAGAGAACCACATCTGATCCTCTGGAAGTAGGCAGAAGTAAATGATGTCTAGGAAGTCAAGTTTTGATAGCAAAAAGAGAAAATATTAGAAATGTGGCTCAGTGTAACTCTCTGCTTAAGAAGAAACAGTTAATCAGCTGGTAGAAGTCACTATTGAAGTGCTTTAGCTAACTGTTCATTCGTGTGTTGACTTGCCCCACGAAATGTTCCCAGTCATTTCAATTTAATAGGTTCAGTCAGCTATGGTTTGGAATGTTAATACTGTATTAAAAAGTATTTAAGAGCTCTTTGTATTCTACCCCCAAGTCACATTTCCCCAGGAGGTTGTGACTGTATGAATCCCCAAAAAGTCTCTATTAAGAGCACACAGTGGTATCTCATAAGTATTAATTGAGCACAACAGGATCCTCAGCTGTCAGGTGCTAGGTGAAGTGCATGTTTGCCAGATATTTTAAGAGTCACCCCATCCTTAATTACTTTCATAAGCTTTCAAGACACCATGCACAATATGGGGTCACATTTCAACCCTTATTTTAGAGAATTCAAAACCAAAATACATTACTCTTACATTATCTCATTTAATTTTTACCGACAATCCTTTATAATGTTATTAGTCCTCTTTTGCTGTCAAAGAAATTGAGACTCAAAAAAGTTAAATAACTTACCCAACAATTTGTTTAACTATAAAATTCAGTGCTATATGATGAGGATTAAAGAGTGCACTTGTCATGATGAGCACTGAGTAAAGTATAGAAGTGTTGAATCACTGTACTGTACACCTGAAACAAATATAACACTATACTGGAATTTTAAAAAATTTAAAAAATCTCAATGCTATGGATTCCATATAAACACTATGTATATAGAGAAAGCAATGAGATAGGTATCCTTGAATATTGCCAGTGGGAGAGCACCCTGAGAAAATATTTCCAGAAAGCAATTGCTCGACATACATTAAGAATAAATACGTATGTATGTGTGTATATATGTATTTGTAATATAATATATATAATATCCACCCACTAATTACACTTTTAGGAATAAAGCCTAAGAAAATAACCAGAGATATGATTTTTTTAAATCTGTATAAAGATATTTATTATAGTATTATTTACAATAATGATAAATAGTAAGCAAATTAAGAATAGCAAAACAATAATATAATAAGACGCAGTCCTTAGAAATTTTTAAGTTGTCTTTAAGATAATAAAATGAACTGGCATAATATTAAATGAAAAAAAGGTAGAAAACAGAATATATAGTTATGATTCCAACTCAAAAGGCTGGGGAAACGCACACCAATTATTAGCAATAGTTGCCTTTCTTCTTTAGATGTTTTTGTTTTCAAAATTTTTTACCAAATTTAGACACTACTTTTGTAATCTGAAAAAAAACCCTGTTATTTAAAGACAACAAAGAGGGACACCTGGGCGGCTCAGTCAGTTAAGCGTCTGCCTTCAGCTCAGGTCATGATCCCAGGGTCCTGGGATCGAGCCCCGCATTGGGCTCCCGGCTCAATGTGGAGCCTGCTTCTCCCTCTCCCTCTGCCTCTGCCCACCATTTGTGCTCTCTCTCACTCTCTCTCTCTCAAATAATAAATAAATAAATAAATAAATAAATAAATAAATAAATAAATAAATAAATAAATAAATAAATAAATAAATAAATAAATAAATAAATATCATATCATATCCACAGTTGCACAGGAACTTAAAGCCAACTTTTTGCCTCCAACCTCAGGACACTAGTGCCTGCACCACTCTTTCTCACTATGCAGAGGAATGAGCCATCATATAAAATACACGAGCCATCACAATGTGATCAGTCAACTCTGTAAAATGGCCAGTTAGTACGAAGCAAATGATATTAGATTGTTTCATACATAGTCTTATGTAGACACAGCCCCAGAAACGGGGGTCAGAACCATTTCCCACAAGACAAATGTGCATTCTCTGCCCTGCTTCCTGCAATTTCATTTCTTAAATATACCAGGACTGCTGGACCCCTCTCAATCTCTAATGCTTTCTTCTAATCATTTAATAATACCCTTTTTAAAAATACAGGTTATCACTGAATCTGAGGATAAGACAATCCTCAAGTCCCTCATGAACTAGAATTAACATGCTGTAAAATATTTTCACTCCATCCTCTCAGAAAGGGAATGGGAGTTACAGCCCTCTAGCACTTCCCTATTGATGGCCATTAACTAACAACCCATAAAATGCTTGCCCATAGTAAATGTGTAATATCTTCAAGGACTCGTCAATGTATTTCACATTCTGTCCTATAAGTAAGGTTTCACAGATGAGCACGTCTGTTTTTATTTGAATCATATTTGTATTCTACATACAGGTCTCTAACAGAATTACCACTCTTGGGCTATGCTTTTCATTTATAAATGAAAGAAAAAAAAAGGGGGGCTTGGCAGAGTGCACATTCTACTACCTACATTACACTTTGAGAGGATTATATCATTGGTAATTGTCATCATCCCAGTGATCTCAAGGACTCAACTGAGGTAAGTAGTTCCAACATTGCAGTATAAAAAAGGAAAGGAGTTGACGATTAGAAAAATTGTCTTTTTCTGAAATATGCACATATAAAGCTCCGAAGTCAATCTAATTTCTAAATAGACTCAGTTCCAACTGCACACACTAGTTTCCTCCTAGAAACAATCATGTTGCAAAAAGAAAGGGGGAGGGGACATTTTTAGTTTCTGATGATGTAGGATAGACATGATTTTCACTGTTCTTTAACATCTCCCTAAGCAAAGGGCACCCAAAGTTACTGCAAATCAATGATCAATAACACTGCCCCACAGATTACCATGGAAACCATTAATTCTGGGTCATCTCTTCTGACTACAGGACAAATTGTTATTGTTTGAGTAAAGCAAAAAAGAGGAGATATTTGTTTTTCCCAGAAGTTGCTGGCTAAACATGGTTACCTTAATTAATATTCCCCCTGACCTGATAAATGTCACTCCACCATCAGATAATAGAGTAGGAATTTTATGATCACAAAACAGAACATAAAACAGGATCATACAATTCCTGTGTACAACTCCTTTAAGAAAAAGCTTGCGGTCAAGAGAAAGTAAAAGAATGTGTTACAGAAGGAAATTATTATCAGGGTTTTCCTTTGCCACTTAACTCTTTCCAGAAGCTCGTTAATGATAGCTTTAAGATTGACAGATATGAAGTATGTTCCCAACACTGACAGATCATTCAAGCTTTCTTTGACTTGAGACTATTCTTCCTGGGTCCTTCCTCCATGTACCCCAAATGTAGGCACAACAGCTTACAAGAGTTTCAGATAAATCACTCTGGCCATAAATAGTAAATGTATTTCACAGAACATTTCTAGAAACCTTATCTTGTTCTACTTTTTAAATGTTGATTTTTAAAATAGTGGCTTAGATTTGGAAATATCTATTTTATTCCTGCCTTGAAAAGGGAACGGAAAAAGGGAAGTTCAGGCATTTTGAAGTTTGTAGTCCAACAACCTGTTAGTCTACAGGCATCAATGGCTAAATAAATTGATTCAATTGCTAAATTAATTTTTCTATGGTATGCTTTTGGAATTAGAGATATAAAAATGGGGACAGCTCAGAGCACACTGGGATGCTTTGATAAATAGAATGTATTCAGTGATCTCTATGCTACCATGCAGTCTCTACAAAAGAAGTATTCTATACTTGGACCATTTTGTCACAACAGTTTTTTATTTCTAGTTAATTTTTATTACCATTTAATGAAAATAGTTATTTTAGGCTTTATTTTCACAATAATTTTTCTTGCAAAATTGTCTTTCATTCCTAAGAGGTTTTTTTTTTTTTTGTAACGATTATAGGGAATAAGCACTCTTAAAGTTCGGGACTCGGAATGCTGTTGCTCAGTACCTTTTGCCTTATAACACTGAGATTTGTGAACTCTTTCTGCTCTGCATTATTTGAAGCTGAGTGTGAGAAAAGAACAGAAATTAAATCTACAGAGCTTTGTCTTGCACTTACCTATTTTCTTTTAAATGTGCCATTTTCTCCTGATACTGTCTTCCTTACTCAGACAAGGGGCTCACACCCCCACTGCCAGACTAAGCTCTCATTCAACAAATTCACACCATTCAGCTGTCCACTCTTCAAACAAGCAAAACACATTTCCCTCCTTCACGCCTAAGTTTTCAAGGTAAAGGAAGCGCAAAAAAAAAAAAAAAAACAGATGGCCAAGTCTTTTTTTTTGTTGCTGTTTTGGAAAGGGGCCTTTCCTGCAATCTTCCAACTCCTCTGATTTTCACTTAAAGACAAATCTGAATGCCACACTCCTTGTACCTGTCAGCTCTGGAGCGCCTACAGCCTCCTTCGTGGGGCGGAGCGGGGGGGGGGGGGGGGGGGCGGTGGTGGGCAGTTCTGAATCCCCATCCCGGGAGCATTATTTGCCATTTTCACCAAGTTCCTGCTCTTTGGGGTTACACCTTCTGAAGGGTCAATCATCCACAAAACAATGAGAGCTGCTGAGATCGCCAGCAGCGCGGACAAAGCAAGAGACTTCGCACGGGCTCTGACGAGTGGCGGCTGGCAAAGCCGGCGCTGCGGGGGTCGGAGGCTTACCTGTGGGGCATGCCGGTGGTGCAGGCGCTCGTGTGCTCGCCCGACAGCTCGTACAGTTTGAGGTACCAGTTCATCTCCACCTCGCGCACCAGAGCCAGTTGCCGCGCCCTGAGCTGGCTTCGCCCCGAGGGGCTGAGGCTGCTGTCTTTCCCATTTTCAGGGGCTTTCTTGGGAGATTTGTCTTTGCCCCCTATGGAAAGCCCAGACTGTTTCCTTAACTTGGTGTGCTCTTCTGCTGTCTGACTCCCCGCCGCTCCGGTGCGGGCGGCCAGCATCCTGGCGGTTCCTGTCTGTCTATCAGAGGAGACTCTAAGTCACTGTCATCCAAGTAATTTGAATTGATTTTTCTGCTTCTGTCTCCCTCCTCTTCCCTGTCCTCCCCCCATCCCCTTAACCTTATCCTGCCACAGACCTGTAATTGAGCCAGGTCTGTGGCTGGGGAGGAAAGGTTATCTCTAACTTTCCTGAGGAAGCGCTAAGGAGGTCACTACCTGTGATATCTTCCAACATGGGAATTTAAAAAAAACCTAACAATTTTGGAATGTTGAAGTATGTGGTGCTATTTCTTCTTGGAAGTTTGGATTGAATTCATGTAAAAAAATCTGAACCTTAGATCATTAAGGTTGGTAAATTATATTTGGTCATCATGTTAGAGTTATATTTTTAAAAAATGACACCTAGAGGTTCATTAGCCATTCTTAATTAGAGTCCCTTTAGAGTTTTAAGAGTTTGATGTGAATTTCTTCAAATAAGCTTAACAATGTCAATGCGGGGGGGGGGGGGGGGGGATCATTCCTTTTGTGTAAGCCTTAAAATAATGTTTAACTTATTTCATAATCCTCTGGGAGAGGGAGACTTTTTGAATGTCAGGGAACCATGTAACATACATCAAACATTCTTTCATTCCCAAAGAAGAATGTTAAGCCCACCATGACTGCTTCAGTAACTGACCCTCTCAGAACCTCTGAAGGATAGAAGGCCTGAGAAGCACTTTACAATTGAGGAGACCGAGGCTGAAGTTGGAGTGCCAAAACTATTAGACTGAAAGAAAGTGTTAAGAACCTGTGTGTGCAGATGTGGATGTGGGGATGTCTGTGCCCAGGGCCCGTGAACACCAGCCCTGAAGAAGGAAAGAAAGAAGGAAAGAAAGTTCAGTTAATGGCCCTTGTGCTTAAGCCCCATGGGACTGACCCACACATGCCCACCGATCTGTCCTAACTCAAGGGATGATGACGTCAGTGCCCATGTAGGTGTTTACCATAAAGTTGTTTGATGACCCATTAAACCCAGGCATCCACCAACCAACATCAGTCCCTCTAGCAACTGCCGCAGTGTCGGCTGCATGTGAAGAACTTGAGAAAGTTTGTGAATTTCTCTATCCATGCAAGACCATAAATTAAAAATCTGAGAGGAATAGTGAAATTCTATAGCCTCTGAGAATGACAGGAGAGAAAGTAGGAAAGACAAGGTTCTTCTTAAAAAGTTAACTCTTCTGGAAATCATATAGATGCCTTTGAGGATCCCTAGGGCTGCTAATTAATCAAAGCCAAGAATGAGGGGACAGCAAATCACACCACGCGGACTCTCCCATATTTATGTAAAACTGTTTAGAGTAGTTAGGATTAGAACTATGACCACAAAGCAATGTGTCACCTGAAACATGGAGCAAAGGGCAAGGGGGCAGCTGCCAGCAAGTACCAGGGTCGGCTCCACCCGACATGGAGGAGGCTGAGGAACGTGGAGCACCAGCAGCGGCAGCCTCCCCAATTCCTCTCCCTGCCCCTCATCCCTTGAGCTATCAAAGAGCTCTAACAACAACAGTATCCACAGCAATAGACTTCTCCAAGTGTGGACTCTGAGGACAGCCTCCCTAGTTTGATATTGTTGGTCATGTGTCCATAGGAGGCTCTGGAGTAGAACTGGGGAGGGGAGCTATGTTCATCCAGCCAAAGGGGTCTCACAGCTCCCCTGGCATGCCTTTCTTAGGAGGCAGTGCTGTTGTGTTTAGGAGCTCTGCTCTAAAGTCAGACCGCTTGGGTTTGAATCCTAACTCCATCACTTACCAGCAATATGATCTCAGGCAAATTACTTAACCTCACTATGTTTTTACCTTCCTCATCTATAAAGAGGAATAATTATCTACTTGTGGCAGTTTTAAAACATAGCCCTCATTCTTTGTTATGGTTGAATAATACTGCATTGTCTATACACACCACAATTTCTTTGTCCATTCATCCATCAGTGGACACATAGGTTGTTTCCATATCTTGGCTATTTTAAATAATGCTGCAATGAACATATCTTTTCAAGTTCCTGTTTTTGTTTTCTTTGAATTAATACCCAGAAGTGGAATTACTAGGTCGTATGATAGTTCTACTTTTAATATTTTTTAGGAAATAAACTAAGTGTCCACCAGTGGATGAATGGATAAAGAAATTGTGCTTATACACATACAAAGACACATATGCAAAAGAATACTATTCAGCCATAAAAAAGAAAGAAAGCTTGTAATTTGTGACAACATGGATGGACACTGAGAGCATTATGCTAAGTGAAATAAGTCAGACAGAGAAAGACAAATACCACATGATCTCTCTTATATGTGGAACCCAAAAATAAAGAAGAAAAAGAAAAGAAAAGAAAGCTCACAGATACAGAGATCAGATCGGTCGTTGCCAGGGGTAGGGTGTTTGGGTGAGAGAAATAATTTTTTTAATGCAATCTCACTATATTTTTTTAACCAATGTGTGTGTATATATCTATATCTATACAAATCTTGGATTCATTCTTTTGTTGAGTCATTATAATTTTTTAATTTCTACCTAGGAAGTCCCCAACAGAGGCTAAGCGCTATACAATACTGAAGGAGAATGAACAAGGCTGAACCTTACCGTATTGAGCTAGGAAAAATTCACATGCTAATGAAAAAAAAGAAGAAGCCAGGTAACTTAAGGAAGGATACTACAGTACAATAGTAAGTGTATACCATAGTGATTTCCCCAGTCCTTCCCCCAAAAGGCCTTTCTGAAGTAAAATATTCTGAAGCCGGGTAACATAGAAGTTTTTGAGGGAGGGAGGGAGGCAAGAAGAAAGTAGGGCTGAGTCAGGAAGGGAAAATCACGCCCAGCCTGGGCACAAGCTAAAGCTCGTTGTCCACAGGCACTCAGGAAAGGAAGAGGATGGAACTCCAGGGGCACAAAAGAAAAAAAAAATAACAAAATAAAATAAAAAGACAAAAAGAAGATAAGCCTCAGATAAAATGAAGAAAAAAGTCTTGACTTAGAAAAAGGGCACATGAAATAATATTAGAAACAAAATGCTACAGAAATAGCAGTATTTAAAATTAATAAGAAAAATAAATGCATGGCTCTCAAATTCTTTGACACCCCTTTCATTGACAGGTGGGGTCTATTTTCCTTCCGCTGACTCTGGGTGGGCTTGTGACTGCTTTGATCAGTAAAATATAGTGGAAGTGATGCTACATCAGAAAGCCATATGGCTTTCACCTACCACCATTGGGATATTCATCTCAGGGAAAGCAGCTGCCTTATAAGGAATCTGACTGCCTTGAGATCAGTCTCACCACCATCATGGCGCCATCTCACTCTCATCATGGTGATGAGAGTCACACAGAGGTGCTCTGATCAGTAGCGCCCACTGAGCTCCCAGATAACAGCCAACATCAACTACCGACTTGGTGAGCAAGCCAACTTGAGCATCCCCACACAGTCGGTCCTTCAGGTGACTGCAGTCCCAGCCAACACCTGACTGCAACTGTATAGGACACCCCATGTGAGAACGGCCCACCCAAGCCCTTCCCAAATTCCTAGCCCACAAAATTGTGAGATAAATAAAATGATTGCTTTACTACCACCATTAAGTTTGGGGTTATTTATTGTGCAGTAATAGTAACCAGGACATTACTCATACCCTTATGATAAATATTTCACAAAATATGTGTGAAATACTGTGTCTGGCATATATTAACATTTAATAAGTATTAATACTTATTCTCCAGGTTAGATACTATTACAGCACTAGGATTCAAACTTTCTGCTTATGTTTCCCTTTTAAAACTTTGAAAAACTATCATCTTAAACATTTTTAAATGTATAACATTTGTCATCATAAAGTTAAATAGTGGCCAAAGATGCCATGTCCAGCATACCATAAGTATGGCAGCTTTAAAAATAAAGTGTTTACATCACTATCTCAAATGTATCCAATGGAATTTAAATCCCATGGCTATTTGATATCTATCATCGTCCTTTTAAAAAATTCATGAACACACTCTTCTTCAGCAGTTGGAAATTCTACATTCTTCCTTTTTCTCCCTGAACTTGTTTTTCTAGTACATTTTCTCACCCAGAATTTTATTCTGATGTAAAATATTTGTATGCTTGAAAATATTTTACAGATGACCTTATCAAATAATTCTCTGGAAGAAAAACATGAATATAAATAAAAATATTAAAATTTTTATTTTCTATATCCATAAGACTCTAAGTGTTATAAAATGTCCTAGGGATTGAGTTATCATGATAACTATTGTTGGACATAGCTGATCAAAATTAGATTTCTAAATTTTGAAAAATTATTGCTTAACATGAGAAGTAAAATTTTATTGAAAACATATCTTTTAATGACACAGATGGGGTTGAATTTTTTTTTTTCTGAATTAGGTCATGTATCCATAAAGTAATATTCTTCATTGGTAGAATAAGATAAGATTCAATATCAATTCTATTCTCTTTTTTTTTTCCCATTTTTGAAGACATGTTCTGAGAACTTTGTTCATATAAATAAGTTAATGGAAATGAAAGGGGTTTTTTAAATTAGAGTAAAAATTATTCAGTTCTTTAAATGTCTTCTTGGGTATATACAAAAAATCACAATGAGGTGTCCTTTAACAATGATATGTTAATGATCCATCCAGCAGCATCTCCGAGATGGAGAGCTTACAGAAGAAGATGACTGGAAGTGATACACACAGATTTATGTATGAAGAGGATCACACTAGCTGCTTTGCTAGAACAGACTGTAGGGAGTCGGGGAAGCAGACAGAGGGCGATTAGGAGGTTGTTGCAATGAGATGAGATGACGGCAGTGTTGCGGGGTGAATACACTGAGTGAATAGTGGCGGTTATAAAGTCATAAGACTCTGTGTACATATTTTGAAGATAAGAAGAACAGAATTTCCTGGTGGGTTGGTGGCAGGAAAGCAGTATAAAAGAGTGATGGGAGGGGCACCTGGGTGGCTCAGTCCGTTAAGCCTCCAACTCTTGATTTCCGTTCACGGTTCAGGTCGTGATCTCAGAGTCATGAGACATAGCCCCATGTTGGGCTCCCCACTCAGCAGGGAGTCTGCTTGAGATTCTCTCTGTCCCTCTGCCCCCCCCATAAATAAACAGATCCTAAAAAAAAAAAAAAAAGAATGATGGGAAGAATTTTGTCTTGTGCTCCTTGCTTAGACTGAGCAGATGCAGGAGAATAGAGTTTGCTGGGCGCAAGTGGGCATAGTTTTTGTATTTACTCACATGTTCACCTTTTTTTTATGCCCTTGGCTTCTTCCTGAAGATCCAGGTTTCCATTTACTTTCATTTCCTACAGTCAGAACTTCCCTGAACAGTTCTTCTAGGTCTGCTACCAAGAAATTCTCTTTTATCTGAAAATACCTTATTTCACCTTCCTTCTTAAAAGGCATCCATCCTGAGTTTTTTCATCTTCCATCACTTTAAAAATGTTCTTGCCTTGTTTTCTGGCCTCTATATTTCCTGATGAGAAGTCAGTGGTCGTCATTTTCCCTTGTCTGCAGGGTGTTGGATTTTGCTAGCCATTTTCCATATTTTCTCTTTCTCTTTGGTTCTGGTCAGTGTGACTATATGTGCTCCAGTTTCCTTTGTCCTTATACTGCATGGGTTTGATGAGCTTCTTGAATCTATAAACTTCTGTCTTTCACCAAATTTAAGATCGTTTTGCCCATTGTTTCTACAAAGTGTCTCTCCCCTTCTCTGGAGCAGCAATAACACGTGTATTTATTAGACCTTTTGAAATTGTTCATCGTGTCCCTGAGGTTCTGTGCATTTTTTTCACTCTTGTTCCCCTCTTCTTTGGATTGGATGGTTTAATCGATAACTCCTTAAGCTCACTTTTTCATTTCCATGCTAAGTGCATCCTGTAACTCTTTAATTTCAGATAATATATTATCCAGTTCTAAAATTTTCATTTGGTTATTTTCTATATGACTCTGATGAGATTTCTTAACTTTTCATTCACGGCCAGCTTATTGTCCCTTACCTCACTGAGCATAGTTCTAAGCGCTGACTTAAAAATACTTATCTGGTAAGTGTGTAAGACTGTTGAATCACAGACCTGTACCTCTGAAACAAATAATACGTTATATGTTAAAAAAAAAAAAGAAGAAGAAGATAGTAGGAAGGGAAAAATGAAGGGGGGGAATTCGGAGAGGGAGACAAACCATGAGAGACTATGGACTCTGAGAAACAAACTGAGGGTTCTAGAGGGGAGGGGGTGGGGGGATGGGTTAGCCCGGTGATGGGTATTAAAGAGGGCACGTATTGAATGGAGCATTAGGTGTTACACACAAACAATGAATCATGGAACACTACATCAAAAACTAATGATACAATGTATGGTGACTAACATGACGTAATAAAAAAATACTTATCTGGTCTTTCTTTCTCTAATCATTCTAAAGTTTTAGCCAGTCTACACACACACACACACACACACACACACACACACACACACACACACGTGACAGGTAAGTTTCCCAAAACAGAAAAACAAACAAACAGAGGGAGGGGCAAGAGAAACCTGCTCTAACTGTATCTCTCTCTTGCTCAAAGCCCTTCAGTATTTTCTTTATGCCAGAAAATAAAGTTGAAACTCATCAAATTGATATTAAAGGCCAATCACCGTCTATCTCCAGTCCACCTTTTCAATGTCATGTGTAGTTGCCTCGCTGCGCAAAGGATGTGCTCCGACTAGATTGCTTACCCGCCCCCCCCACCCGGTTCCCCTAAGGTGTCTGTTGCTTCCCACCACCACATTTGCAGCACTCCTTTCCCTTTCTCCCTATCAGTAAAGCTTTCTGCCCACCCATTTCCCAATTTCCGCATTGACATTCCAGGCAGTCATAAAGCCTCCTCTGACCCCTACAGCCTGCAGGGAGAGCCTCCTTTCCTACTCTTCTCATCCCTATCAGCTGAATTAGTGGGGACACACTCTTATGACAAGTTCACTACTGACTTGGACAACCCGCTCCCTTTACTATAGGTCCTGCCCCCTTTCACCTGCTCTTAGTCCCTCTCCTTTGCACCTTTGAGGTCCCACCTTTCAGGCACACCGTCAGCACCCTTCCTACCATCTTTCCCCTTCACCACTGACATCAGTTCTTGAAGGACCACGACAGGGCCAGGAACCTTAAAAAAGGTTTTGTTTTGCTTTATTTCTAGAAAATTCCATTTAATAATATTTCCAGAAAATCCCATTTAAATAATAAGAGAGAAAGCTTAGAACGCCGTCTGGAAGAGGGGAGGCATATTTGACTGCCTAAGTGTCCTTTTCCTCCTCTTTCCTCCTCTCCCTTCCCTCAGGCCAAAAACGAACGGGAGGCCCGACGATGGGAGTATTGGAGCAGACTTGATGAGGGTTGAGGTGCCGGTCCTACTTGCTCTGTGTGCAAGAAGACACCTGAGCGGGAGGGAGACAATGAATGAGGGAGGCGTTTGGCCGTGGGGGCCTGGAGGGGTGCCTTCCCCAGTCCTATGAGACTGGGACACTTTAGGCAGCGAAGACAGTATTGTTAGTAACAATCACATAGAAACAAGAGGCAACCATGGCAATGTCCCTCCGAACAGGATGTATAACCATCCCACACATACCCCCAGCATGATGCAGAACAGCAATCTCAAGGTTTCTGTAGCCGTGGCCCCTCCCACGTAAGGCACGCAGACATGACTGACGGAAGCCAGCAGCCAGGAGAGCCGGGGTCGAGAGACAGAGGAAATGCAAAGGGCCCTGCTGTGGACCCCATTGTGAGGGAAGGAGTCTCACCGCAGGGGACCTGAAGAGCAGGCCTGTCAGGACCAGCACCAGGATGATGATGGTACAGGCACCAGACACTCCTCCCATGGTCAAGATAAGATGGAAGGGCCCTCGAAACTTAGGTTACCCCAAGAAGGGAGGTAAGGAGACAATCTGAACCCA